CCATTTAAAATGCACTTAATACTGAGCAGTTCCTTCTTGGATCACCCTATTTAAACTGCACACTACTCTCTTTCGATTTATTCCAGGTCAAACTGGTGCAGGAAACAACTGGGCAAAGGGGCACTACACAGAAGGAGCAGAGTTGGTGGACTCGGTGCTCGACGTGGTGAGGAAAGAGTGTGAGCACTGTGCCTGCCTGCAAGGGTTCCAGCTCACCCACTCCCTGGGCGGGGGAACAGGGTCTGGCATGGGTACCCTGCTCATTAGCAAGATCCGAGAGGAGTATCCCGACAGGATCATGAATACCTTCAGCGTCATGCCTTCCCCCAAAGTCTCTGACACTGTGGTGGAGCCCTATAACGCCACCCTGTCCGTTCACCAGCTGGTTGAGAACACAGATGAAACCTACTGCATCGATAATGAGGCTTTGTACGACATTTGCTTCCGTACCCTGAAGCTAACCACTCCCACCTATGGAGACCTGAACCACCTGGTGTCTGCCACCATGAGCGGGGTCACCACCTCCCTGCGCTTCCCGGGCCAGCTCAATGCTGACCTCCGCAAGCTTGCCGTGAACATGGTCCCTTTCCCCCGCCTCCACTTCTTCATGCCTGGCTTTGCCCCCCTGACGGCCAGAGGCAGTCAGCAGTACCGGGCCCTCACGGTGCCGGAACTGACTCAGCAGATGTTCGATGCTAAGAACATGATGGCTGCCTGTGACCCAAGACATGGGCGCTACCTCACCGTGGCCACTGTCTTCCGGGGCCCCATGTCCATGAAGGAGGTGGACGAGCAGATGCTGGCCATCCAGAACAAGAACAGCAGCTACTTCGTGGAATGGATCCCCAACAACGTCAAGGTGGCCGTGTGCGACATCCCGCCCCGTGGCCTCAAGATGGCTTCCACCTTCATCGGCAACAGCACAGCTATCCAGGAGCTGTTCAAGCGCATCTCTGAGCAGTTCTCTGCCATGTTCCGACGCAAGGCCTTCCTGCACTGGTTCACAGGAGAGGGCATGGATGAGATGGAGTTCACCGAGGCCGAGAGCAACATGAACGACCTGGTGTCTGAATACCAGCAGTATCAAGAAGCCACAGTTAATGATGGCGAAGAAACTTTTGAGGATGAAGAAGAGATCGATGAATAGAGGACCTTCCCTATCACAAATACTAAACAGATGTTATTTCTTTAACCCTGGTGCATCTTGACCCTAATGGCTGCCCAAGTGATGCACTGGCCTAAATTTGTTGGTGTAGACCCTTCCCACATGCAGTCAAGTTGTATTATCTGTCATGTGGAGTAAAGAAAGTACAATAAAATAGCAGAGAATTGGCAGTCCCCCCAAGCAGATCAGCTGTGGAGATCTCCACAAAAGGCCTGAGGGCCACAGAGGGCTAACTAAACCTTGCCTTCCACTAAGTGTTCACCATGTCTGAGAATCAGCATGGAGGGAAATTAGAGAGTGTTTTTTCATTCTTTGTGACAAAACTTGAAGTGGTGCAGTGTTACCTTGTCTGAATATGCAATGTAGAACTTTGAAACAATCCAACCATAATAAAACACCAAACATTGTTCACCTGTCTCTTCCAGCCCCTTACTTATTTGGAAGTTACTTTGGATTGGTAGAATGGTTACTCTCATCTCTTTCATTTCTTCCTGGGGGGTAACCTACCTTGCAGCCCCTGAAGAGAACTGACAGGGCCCTTCTCATGCTGGAGGCTTCAGGAGTGGTGGCTAATGTCTTGAGCTCATGCGTAGTGCAAGCGCCAACAAGGCCCTCCTTTCCTCAGTGGTACAAAATGTTAGTATATATGGCTGCCAGTGGGAAGGCTGGAGGTTCAAGTCCACCCAGAAGCACCTCGGAAGAAAGGCCTGGTGGTCTGCTTCTGAAAAATCAGCCATTGAAAACTCAGTGGAGCACAGTTCTACTCCAACTCACATGGGGTCGTCATGAGTCAGAGTCAACTTGATGGCAACTGGTTTTCCCCATTTGCAACCACTACCTAGTCCTCCCACAGAATCTTCCATATTGCTGTCATGTCCTGGGCAGGTGCATCCCCAGCCTTCCGTAACAGCACAGCTAAGATTGCCGAGGGATCCACGGAAAGCAGCCTTGAGCCTTCCGGAGACAGCTGGATGGGGGTAGGGAGTGGGGACAGGAACACAGGGATCATCCAGCTCCTGAGATGCTGTGCTTCTGTGAGCAACTAGACTGAGGGAGCCCAGACTGAAGGCTACGGGGCTTTTTCCTAGTATAACTAATCACATTACAGTTTTGATAAACAGCCACAACATTTTCAACAAGGCCTTGTAGAATCCAGTCGCCAGCCATGACCAGGCAGCAGGCAGACACTGCTGTTCAGCAGTGTTTCTCATTCTCTCCTGCCTGCCCCTCGAACCTAGTTGTGAGCATGTGACTGCTTTAGCCAAAAAAACGTGACAGGCACGTCATTTCCTGGTGGAAGTGTTTAGATGCTGGTGGTGGCTCCCCTGCTCTGCCCCAACTGCCTCAAGGAAGCCTGATTCCCCCTCCCAGGTGGTGGCAGTTGGCCCAGTGCTGAGTAGCTGTTGAACAGAGCCCCTCTGACCTCTGCTGCAGAGTAAGGGAGACACGGTCGTTTCTCGCATGGAGTCAGAGATCCAGGGCTGCCCACGGCGTACTCTTGCCCGGCACTGCCGTGCTCCCTGGCCTGCACCGGTGTTCCGTGGCTGCAAGCTCTCCAGCCCCAGGCCTGGGCAAGGCTGCAACGCAGCAGGACTTGACACTGGTGTGACAGCAGGTCCCCCTTTGCAGAACTCTGAGCTGTTCTGTGAGGCTACAGTAAAAATAAGTATTAGCTCATCATCCACATTCTAACTGGAAAACATACTGATCTTGGTTTATCTTGGAGAAGAGAGAAAGATGAGTGTGGTGCCTGTGGTGGGCCAGCCCTCACAGCAGGTGTGTGAGGCATTACTGCTCTCCTTGGGAGCTGAGGAAAACCGCCAAGCCTAAGCAGCTGTCCCAGACCATCTCAGCCACCAGAGCTTGAGTACAGCTGGGCTCAGGGCGGTGCAGGGTCTCCTGTGCAGTGCTCACTTGTCTTACTGCATCAAACGTGACTCAGTATGGCACAGCTCGCCTAGTCCACAGGACTTTCCTTGCAGAGGCACAGGTGGGGAGAAACAGCACCTCTTAATTTTACAGTGCTGTGGAGAAAGCTCACTCCATCACCGTCACTGTCAGCTGCCAGAGTCGAGCCCTCCTTACCTGACTCATGTGACCCCATACACAATGCAACGAACGCTGCCTGGTCCTGCACCATCCCTGTGACTGGCTGTGGACTGGACTGTTATAATCTGTATGGTTCTTACTAGCTGATTTTTGGAAGTAGCTCACAGGCCTATCTTTCTAGTCTGTCCTAGTCTGTCAGTTCTGTTGAAACCTGTTTAGCGACAGAGGAACATGCAAGCCTCCAGTGACAAACGGGGAGGACTGGTCGGGAACTGAACTGGGTCTCCTCCATGGAAGGCAATAATCCCACCAAGGAGCCACCACTGCCTCATTATCACTAGGTAAATCTTAGTTTTAAAACAATTTTTCATTGAACTGCTTCCTAAAACCATCTGACGAAGTGAGGCCGTCATGCTACTTCTGTAGAGCACTGGCAGAGGGTCTAGTACAAGTGCAAGGACGGTGTCGAGGGAGGAGGGCCCAGTGACCCGGCGATGCTGGCTGGGGCATGGGGTTCTATAATGCTATGCCCTTGGGCACACAGGCAGGCCCCAATAAGAGCAGTCCCATAGCAGAGTAGGGCATGGGGTTCTG